CAATTCGTTAAAAAATTTAACCGCTAAAAATGCTCACGCCAGCTTCACAGTCTTAGCTGCACTTAAATTTTGTATGACTCGAAACACGCTCGTAAACTAGCAACAGTAGCTGCAACGGTAGCGCAAAAAAATACTAACTATTTACATTTGAAGCGCAAAATGCAAAATGCAGTAAAACAGCAGATAATCTCTAACCGAGCAACTCCTACCGACCTCCACCGACCGCACCTCAAATCCACGCAACCAAGCGCAAGTTCGTTCCCATTGTGTATTACAGTGCGCACCAACTAATTTGCATAAGCGAACTGTTTTGCGGTTGCCATTGAAAGTGATTGCACGCGCGCCGTAAGGGGGCTCACGAAATGACAGCAAAAACGCATACAGACAATCGTAATCACACGTTTGAGTGACAGCAACATGCCCGCCTAACCGGGAAGAGTTCTTACGCATCCAAAAGTAAGGAGTGTGTGTGCGAGTGTTTGAGGGCTAAGGTAAATAGACCGTTAGGTCGTTGTGTGGCTACATGAATACTGAAATAAATAGACAGTCGACACAGCGCTCCGACACGAGTATAAATAGACATAAATTTTCGTTAAATAAACATAACAGCGTTGGTAGCTTGCGGTATGCGTGAGTATTTGCACGGCTGGACAGCATCAGCAGGGCTTGGTTGACTTCGACGCTGAGCAAAGCTGAGCTGAGCTCACTTGCGGTGACGATGAAAGTCAGTACCTGTGCCAAATAGACTCATTGAATGCCGGAGCACACATTTATGCATGTATGTATGTGTAAGATCAAGCAAACACCGAAGTGACACGACAGCGCTGACGCACAGGATATTAAAGCAACAGAGACCGGCTTGAATGGCGAACGTGACGGTGTCTAACTAGTGAGGACGTTGGGGTCAGCAATGATATGCTCCTGTGGGACAAGAACACGTTAGTCATGAGACAATAAACCTACAGAAGCCTCAACTGGCAAACCGACAAACGTGTTGCAAGTAGCATGCGCAACCAACATGTGAAACCAAATGCGCTTGCTTGCAACGTAACACAGATGGTAGATAGCAGGAAACTGGTAGAGGCGCACAAATGAGTGATATCCAAGCCGAACGAGGTGACGGCGAGGTATAAACGTTGCTTACCTAGCATTTTGCCAGCTTTATCTGATTCCGCCGGTGGCAAGCATCAGCAGCATTGAGTGTAAATAGCAGGGGAGCGCACAAAGGCACACACTCACTTACTTACTTACTTACTTGCTCGTTTAAACGAGAAGCCCAACTCGAGGCTGTGTTCTTTTGTTTGTATTTATGTCACACTGCTGCGGCAAACACGCGCGCCACTGCATCTGCAACCGAATTGGCCATGTTACGAAACCCTAATGTAGCCAGTGCCCCGGTGCTGTGCGCGTAGGTGGCATTGTTGACCTGCCTCAGTGCAGAAGAAGTTAAAGCATCATGGCGCTAATTGAAATTCCAGGCAGCAGTACAAGCAGGCGTCGCAGGCTTTGGGGCTGTTTCTGTCACTTGAAGCGTAAAATATTTAAACAGTTCACAAAGAAAGTCATGCGAAGACATACTCACAAAGTGGAAGGATAATAGCAGCGGCTTACTAGGAAATTTTGGGGTCGCTTTAAATATATTTTTATAAAATATCAGATCTGGTTATATTTTGATTTTTTTAAATTCCAAATTTTTTTACATCTGGTAAACATAAAAAATGGTTATCAGTGAATTTCATTGGCTCTCATTAAATCTTACGGGCTCTCCTGAGTTTTCTCCTTGCCTTTAAACGGTTGTTACTGACCCTCAAACCTGACTTTCGTTGACTCTCACTGACTTCTACCGTCTCTCACCATTTCTCAATCTTTCTCACATGCTCTCTTCGGCTTTTACTGACACTTACCGGGCTCTCCCCGACTCATTTTGGCCACCATTCGCCTGCTGTCACTGCTACTCACGATCTTTTCTCTGCTCTCACTCTTTCTCACCGACTCTCCCAGGCCCGACAAGATCTTACAGATGTTCCCTAAAGTCCATAATCGCATATAGCCCAATTTTTGAACTAATACTCATAAACCCTGCCGTATCCCTTTCTTATCTGTTATATAATTTAAGTTTTTTATTTCTTTATAAATTATTTTTAATAAAAGATCACAACAAATCTTTATCAGCGTAGGGATAAAAACACTCGACAAAATGCTCACAGCATAGCGGGCGGCAACGAGCACAGCTGGAAGAAGCGCAGCTACCTCTTCTGTTAATTCAACAGCCTTAAGTGTTGAAACAACCACACACACGCTTACAACAATTGCTGGTGGGAGATAAAATTCCGCTGGCTCTTTACTTTAAAACTACGTGAGATGACCTACTGCGCTAAATAATAAAATGAGCATTAAGTGGAAATTATTTCAAAAAAATCGTTTTGCCTTGACATATAAATTGACCCAGATAAAAATGTTAAATTCCGAGAAAGTCAACAAAAAATTAAATAAGTTTATTTCCGCTGTGTGAACACTCACAATTCCAATGAAGCCATGTGCGTTCTACTCGAAAAGCCTTGCACCTACAATACATTGACAGTAACAACACGTGCCCCTCTGTCTTCCATCGCCACCTTGTGCAGTAGCCCAGCACGTATTCAGTATTCCCTGATTTAGTAGCCAGTTCTAGCTGCATCCATTAAAAAAGTTTAGTCTCTATTGAGCGCGCTCTCGAATCTGGCACAGAGTGATTTGCTGCTTCATTTGTTGTCGAACGGAAATGAAAGGCGAAAGGACATGACTGACAGGTCATGTGGCAGATGGCGTTGGTAATGGCCTCACAGCCGGAAATTTGATGATTTGCCGAACGCGATTTGTGGGTGTATAGCGAATTGTGCTGTCTCTTTTTTGGCTATTTTCTTGTTACTTTACTTTTTCGAGAGAATTCACTTCCCGTATCGAGAACGGGGTTTGTTTTGGTGATAAATATTGTGATGCTGGGTTTGCATATAAGAGAAAGAGAAAGGGGAATATTACTTTGGTATGCGCATAAAATTTGCAAATGAGAGAGTGAGGCTTTATATGGTTTTTTGCGAATACTCAGTGGGAAAACTAAGATGCTTAGGAGGAAATTAGTTTTATTGTTTATGTTACGGAAAATAATAAGAAATTAGTGCAAGCTGATATAATGAATAAAATAATTTAGAGTAATATTTTGTCTTCTTCTTCTTTCTATTAAGAAAAGGTATATAAGGTTATTATGTATATATAGTTAATGGTTATAAAATATATCATATATCTCTAATTTATTTGATCTATATTTTTGGCTATTTTATTTTTAAAATTACTTTTAAACATTTTTAAACATAAAAAAAAAATATGTATAACCTAAACAGGGTATAATAAATGTGCTATGCAGCTTGCAACCAGAAGGAAACGTCGGAGACCATAAAACGTGTATATATAAATGATCAGCGCGCTGAGCTGATTCAACCATATCCGTCAGTCTATCCGTCTGTTGCTATTTAAATTCGCGAACTATCCCCTGAGTTTTTGAGATATTAATCTGAAATTTTTCAAACGTCGCTTTTTCTTCAAAAAGCTGCTCACTTGTTGGAACCGCCAATATCGAGCCACTACACCATAAGATACAGTTTTATACGAACTGATCCGCCAAAATCAAGTCTTTGTATGGAGATCTTTTTTATTTCAAACATATCTTCGCAAAATTTGCCATGAATTATTACTCAAGACAATACTATAACCTCCAAAGATATTGCGCAGATCGGATCACTATAGCATATAGCTGCCATACAAGCTGAGCGATCCATATCAAGTTTTTGTATGAAAAACTTATGACCACAGATCGCAGTTCAGTCCTCAAATTTTAATCCAATGAAAAACTTATTGATTTGATATATCTTGTCACGAAATTGGCATAGATTATTCTCAGAGTTAGCACTATAATTGCCTTACGTATTACTCAGATCGGACCACTATAGCATACAGCTGCTATATAATCTGACAAATCAAAATCAAGCTACGATCTTTTTATGCTCTTTTATACTATAAAAAATTCACCTGAGAAGTGTGTAGCTGAAGTTAACGTTACGTAAGACATTTTGTAAGATTTACAACACTCGAAATATTTGGCAAAAATTTGTTTGTAGTTCCTTTTTCTATAATATTAATTAAAAATTAAATTTTCTTTTCTAAATTCAAGATGTTTGGGATTAAAATTAAAAATATTACTTATCGACTTAAATGAACTCGCAAAACAAATTCTAAAGCAATTTCTTTTTTAATTCTTAATTATATATTTGAGATTGAAATTTTTCTTTTTTATTTTTTAATAAGAGCTGGATATAAATTTTTAAAATAAATAAAAATAATTTTATTTTTATAGTATTATGTTTTTTATATATTTATATTTTTTTAGTAAAATATATTTTTTGTTATTTAAGTCAAAGCTTTTTAGGTTCCTAAATATTATATATGCTAAAAAAGTATTTTGAAAACCTTAATTTTTTCAACTCAATATCACATGTCTTGCAACTGAATATTTTTACTCACATTTTTCGATTTTAAGATCAGCATATGTTTTTTTTTCTTTTTATCAACAAACAATTTTACGTTTTTTAAATTTCTCTTGAATTTAAAATATTTGTTTTTTTTTCAGTATACTAACTGAACATATTTTATTGCTCGTAAATGAAAATCATTACATCGCTATTATTTTGCATTCAATTTTAAATTTCATTTGAATTTCTCATAAATTCTAAAATAAATCCTATTAAGATACAAATTCCTTAACAACAACATATACTCTTTAAATATACTTGCAACATACCTATATTGAAATTTATTACGCTTAATAATTTCCACAAAATTACTGATTCATCAATTAAATTTTTGAAATTATTCCGTTTCAATTTTGCGCTTCCATTTATGAATATCTAATTTAATTGCTACATTTATTGCGTTTCACTAATTTGAACACATTATTATTATACTTTCAGATTTACAAAAGTCAAAGCAAGCGAAACAAGGCAACAAAAATACAATAAATACTAAAGCAACAACAAAAGAAACACCAGCAAAATAGCTATACAACAATTACAAGTGAGTAAATATTAAGTGGATCAGTGAAGAGAGCATTTTTAATTGATGTTTGATTACGCAAATAAAAGCCGTCGTTGCGAAGCAGTGTATGTGTGATGTATGTATGTATGTATGTACGCTTCTGTGTGTGTAAGTTTTTACTTGAGTATGCGCGGGCAAGTGCTTAATCTGGCGTAAAAGCGCGCTTACTTACATACATGTAGGGAGAGAAGGCAGACACAAGTGTTAAAGAGCATACATATGTATATATTGAATTTGTATATGTTTGTTTGTGTGCACAGTAGTGTGGTAAAGTAGCACTCGTTTTGACCTCAATCAATTGATTAATGGCCCACAACAGCAACGGGCCATTTGAAGTACACGCTGCTTATATATAAATATGTATGTAAAGCAGCTGTTTTTTGCCACGAATACACCAAGCTACCACCACGGAAGCTGCACAGTAAAAGCAACAGCAAAAAAATCTTTACACACACATATATATATATATATATATATATAATATAAATAGGTGTAGATGTCAGTACGCTCTACCCTCAGCAACCACAAGGGATTTCGGTATTATTGCCAGCCGACGCATTAATGTATGTCAATGCAATAATTAATTGACTACAACAACAGAAACAACAACGCCTTGCTGCTAGCAAGCTCCAGCCATCCATAATGCTGATTTCTCTGCGGAATTTTTATTTGCCTATTATATCGATATTTCCGTCATACTCGAGTAATTTTCGCAAATTAAAGCAATTTCATTTCTCGATTTGATTTCCCTTCCCCAATTTCGCCTGAATTAACCATCCATTAGTTTACGCTGGTTGTTGGTATAGTTGCCTGCTAAGCTGGCTAGTTGGTGGGGTCGTTTTAATTTTTCATTAACTCTCTTCGAACCGAAACAAGCACAAGCAGCTGACAGTTTGACAGTTCGGCTGCAGCTAGGCAATGCCAAACTAAAGCGACTAATACCAACAACAACACACAGCAACATGCGCACCTTTGTGTTGAGAACTTTTGCTGGTCTACATGTTTGGGTTAGCCTATCTTACGGCGGCAATCTTTTAGATCAGACGCACAAACACACTTGCATATGCACACACTCATAAATCATTGGCTAAAAAGTTTTGTTGTTGCATGTTCGGCTGGTTCCTTCAGGCTTGCCGCTGAGCGCTTGGGTTCTACAAAGTTCTACAAAGACCTCCGTACATACTCATTGACTCAAACTACCAACTTTAGGCCTGTCATGTCCGATTAGGCTGTGCAACTGCGTTGTAGACAAGTGGCGCGACTAAAGCCGAATGGCCACAATAACCCTATCAGGCACAAGCCATTGAATTACCAAAAGCTCTTCGACTCCGCTGCAGCTCACCGCACGAATTTAGTTTTCCAACCGCTTGGCAGTCAACAGCACCTTCCTATTTCCTCTGCTCATTTCGCATACAAGTTTGTTTTTCGTATGCTCCCACATCCGCTCCAGCGTAAAGGCAGAGAGAAAAAAATTATCGCTTTTAGGCAGCAGACAGACAGTTCATGCAAGTTTAATTTCTCGCTTAAAGTTTTAATAATTTCCGACGTTAAAATTAATTTTTTGCATATAGTGGCAACATGGCCTTCGGAAGAATTGAATCTGTGTCTATGTGTACAAGAAAGTTTAAAAAACTGATTTTCTTGTGTGGGTTTCACTAATTTAACTTTTTGATGAGATTTTAGTTGCTTACAATGACTTTATTTAATTAAATTAAATATTTAAGTATATTTTTCAATTCGTCAGTTATGCTAAAAATATCTTAATAATCGGTACTGACGGTTCCTAGTAAACCGTCTTGAAAGTAGCTACTTACTGTTTTCCTTCTTCTTCTTTGGCACCGCAACCGTGGTTCGGTCTGGGCCGAGAACACAAAACTTCGTCCGTTGTCTCTATCCTATGCGAGGTAACGCCAGTTGTACAACCCAAGTGCAGTCATGTCCCTATGCACTTAGTTCTTCCATTGGATTCGTGGTCGTCATTGCTTCGGTTGTACACCCAAGGCTGTCGAGTCGAGGGAGATTTTCGCTGGAACGTCATCTTTCATGCGCGTGATATGGCCTAACCAGCGCATTAGTTGGATTTTTATTCACTTCACCTCATACAGTTCATGGTTCCATCTTCTTCGACTCTCATCGCTCACGCAGACGGCTACAAAGACCTTGCGCACAACAATGCTCTTGTATGCTCCAAGTGCTTTCTCATATCGTCTCGTCATTGTCCAAGTTTCAGCACCCTATAATATAACGGGATAATAAAAGACTACTTAAATAGTAAAATAAATCATTAATATTTTCAAGTTTTTATTTTTCAAATTTGTAACGTTTATTTATTTTTTTAACTTTTCTATGTTTACAACTGTTTAACGTCCTCTGAATGTTATTTCACAGATTAATTTTATTAGGAGGCATCCCTATTTAACAGTTATCTGGTTCTGCTACTTTTGTATGAAAGAACTACTATTGTATATAAGAAGAAATTAATTTTATTTTGTTGGAAATTGTTTAATGTGAAAAATATGGCAGCGCTACTCAATATGTTTTTTCCATTTAATACTTTTTTAATTCAAAACATATGGCAACTCTGTCAGAGATATTTGTTTAATTGTTTTTTCAAAAAAAAAATTAGTATACATGGCTTCAGTACAATATTTTAAGTATTTTTTAAGTAAGAATATAAAAAATAATTGGCAACTCTATTGCAAATTTTATTCGCTCAAATAAAATAATTGCGCCTGTAGTTAAAATATTACTATAAAGGTTTTAAAGTTTATCCTAAAAATCGCATAATTCAAGTTGCTATTTATTCACTCAAATTAGGTGGCAACACTATTAAAAATTGTAGCAGATCTAATACGAACGATTTTTTAGCATTTTCTGCTCGCGTCAAAGTTTGCATTATTTTTATTAAAAATAATATTTCATACTTGATGGCAACTCTTCAAAAATAATTTTTCAAACTAATATTGCTCTACTCTACCAAATACTGAGTAGGATTTTATGTATATAAAAAAAAAATACTCTCATATGTTTTCTAAACCATTCCGGGCAGCTTTTCTTTCATATATGGACGCATATTGCTTTTTCTTCTTAAGACCCAATAAATAAATTTTTAATTCTCTGCATTTGAAAATATATCAAATTTCCAAACAATGAAAACTTGAATCTTATTTGCCCAATTATTTACCAATTCTACTTGGCAATTTTCTAAATTTGCAATTATGAACTCGTTAACAAAAGACGCATGATTTCTAAAGAATCAGTTATGCATTTGTTCAACTGTACTCGTATGTATGTTTATAGTATACTTATATGGATATACAGTTATGTTTAATGATAGTTTTAAGTATTAGAAAACAATCTGAACAATAAAGTAATCTCAAATCTCTAATCTGCATGATTTACTCATTTGTTTCGCAAACTTTCGCAAAATTTATTTCCATTATGCAATTAATAAGGCAATAGAATGCAAAGTTTTAATCGTTCTAGCTTTGTGTGCTTGATGAAGCATACATTATATAATAGATGTTGTTGCATATTTATTCAAACTCTCCTTTGCCTTTCATCTCAAGCGCCAATTTATACTGCTACTGGCAACACTTTCTCTCCGCGCCTTCAACTTTAATTGCAAATGTTTAAATTTATGCGTGGTAGATTCTTCTCGGTTGTTGCAGCGCTCTTGCAACATGCAACATACCAATAAAGCGCGTAGCAATCGCTGCGTTACTGTTTGCTCCTTTTGTTTATTAATTTTCTTTTTTCTTATTATTATTATTTTTTTCTTTTTCTTCTGCTTGTTCTTGTTCATATTTTATGTTCTTTGTATATAATTTGCAGAATTAAGCTGCTAAATCTTCCGTTAGACTATTGTTTGCTGCAAGTTTCTGCTGTCAAATTAAGCGTTAAAGTTATAAATAAAGTTGACAGAGTAATAAATATCCCAAAAATTTCTAATATAGCTTTGAGTGAGTTATTTTTCAGAAAATATATTTTAAGACTCATGAAAATTATATAATACATACCATACATAATAATAAATTATATAATACATACCTATCTTCCTAACTATGTCTACAAATGTTTTCTTATACAATATAAAATTCTAAAAAAAAATTAATCTGAGTGCCGTGTTGAAGATTTGACATAAATGCTCTCAAGTTTCGAAAACACCTAAAATTTGTTTCTTCAATTCGTGAAAGCTCTCCGGTAAATCTATCACTTTGGTTCTACTAGACAATTTCTTTTATTCTGATAACCGAAGATGCAGCCGAAGAGAAAATGCTAGCTACATTCTTTAGTCAAGCAGTGTCGAGTACATCACCATAATCTGTTATTTGGTCTATATTTTCGTCCCTTTCCTTGCTGCCAACCAATTACACCGACTAACATTCACTCTGTTCTATATTCTACTCTAAGGAGAGATAAATAAATCTGTCTCTCTCGCTTTCTAGTTTTCTCACTTTAATATAAAATTGGAATGGTAATCTCAAAGAATTAGATCATTTTAAATTAGTATCATTTAAATAGAACACACAATACTTCCAAGTCTTTAAAGATCAATGGGATTCTGGAAAGACCAAACAAAAATTGGCCACATTGGATATAGGCTGAAACACATTATGTTTCTTTTTGCTGTCATCGAATAAACAAATTTGACCCATCCATTTAAACTGTTTAAAGATTCGTTCATCCACCGTAATTAATAACAATAACACCGAAAAAGTTAAAGAGACAGTGCTCGAAAACCGTTGTGTTAATATCAGAGAGATAGCAGAAAATCTCAAGATCTCTTATGGATCGACTCAATACATTTGGTTAATGTTTTGGGTATAAAGCGTGTCAATACTACTAGACTCGTATCAAAAGACCTGAATCTAGATTAAAAGATATTTATAGTACTAATTAATTATGTAGTAGAACCAGCCGAAGCCACCGACTCCCTTACTTCGACGCTTACACGCATTTCAGTCATTTCCGCCTGT